AGTTTACAATTTATTTGAGTAAGTTTTAATTTTATTTTTTTGATTTTAGTTTTAGTTAAGTTATTTTTATTTACTTTTTGTTAATTTTTTTTACAAAGATTTATTTGCTTTTTTTTGGATAAGTATTTTTTCAAGTTTTTTTATAATAAAGTTTAAAATTTTTAATTTGAATTCTAGTTTTTGATTTAAACTTTTTCGGCGCATTTCTAAAATATATACAAATTTTAAAACATCTGTATACAAATTTTAAATGTCAAGTTTTCAAAATTAAATAATATTTGTGTGGTTATATTATGGCGTGAAATCGCACACCTTCCTGGCCAAGTCTATTGAATAAATTTTTTATTATGACTTAAATAAAAATAATTTCAGGGATTAAACATAATTTTGACTTGAAGAAATTTTTAAAGTATTTAAAATCTATTTTAAACTTATAAGTCACAGAAAACCTTTATAGGCTTCTTTAAAAAAAGATTTATAAATTTTCACAAATAAGATCACAGATAAAATTATTTTGTATTTTGCAAAAAAATATTTTTTTTAAAAAAGTTTTGAACAATTTTGATTTTGCTTCTTCCCTAACTTTTTTATGTTGAAATTATATTCAGAAGATAAACTTATTAACATAACGTTTAAGCCACTACTGTGCATATTTAAACTGATTGTAAATTGTATCAAAAAATCCCTAGTGATACTCATAAACTTCTTTACAAATAACACTAATAATTAAACAATTATTTCAAACACTATTCAATTCACATTTATATGGTTTTTTATGAATTTAATATATAAGAATTCCCTGACATTTTTATAAAATTTGATAAGAACTCTAACTTTTTATTTATTTAATGACAAAATTTAGAATTATATTTAGCACCCTTATATTTCTAACAGAGTGTTAGCTAGCCCAATGGCACTGCATATAACGCCAAATTCCCAATGGGTTTAAAATTCCAAAAATTTAGTGATAAAAAAACCATATTGGTCAGAAACTGTCAAGGTGACTGACCACTATGAATAAATATTAATTTTCTTTTATAAGACAAAAATATTAATAAGGTTTATTACTTTTTTGGTACTTTAAAAACGGGGTAACTTCTAAACTTCTATTCAAAAAACATCAGCTTTAATTGACATTTGATTAAGATCATCCACTATAACACTTGATTACCAGGAATATTAAAATTCTTTCTTATTAAAATCTTTCAAGTAGTTTTATAGAGTATTTAATGTTATATTTATAACACATTAAAAAAAATTTTTTTCACATTTTATATAAATGTTTAAAGTGAAATTGCAATCTTTTTTCAAAAATAAATAACTTCAGAATAAAAATTCCTTTTTTTTTTTTTTTTTTTGGCAAACCAACTTAAAAAAGTTATTAAAAATAACTTTCATTTAATAAATATTTTTACATTATTTTAAAATATCAAAACATTTTTTGAGAGGATTCGGAAATAGTTTATTGAAACTGAAACAATATTACTAGGTTGCTGTTAAATGACTGGAAGGATGCCGAAGATGGTGCATGGATTAAACCACAACATATCAAAGAGCTAAATCAACTTGATAAAAAATTAGCTAACTCAATACAAGTTGCATATATGACTGGGAAGGTTGATAATTTGTATATTTAAGTTATATTATAAGTTCAGTTTAATAAGTTATGAGATATTAAATAAATAAAAAACATTTTAATAATATAAATATATTTATAAAATTTTTAATTTAATAAATTTAGAAACAAAAGCCCTTAACAAAGGATCTAAAACAAATAATATAAAAATAATGTTTTTATGTTTTTCTATTAGTACCGTAAAACGGGGTGAATAGAAACAGTGGGGTGAATAGAAACAAAACTTCATTTTTGTAAATATAATCTATTTACTACATAACTATGAGTAAATAATGGCAACTAATAATTATTTTAGGTTGCTACACTTTAGCCTGAAAGTGAAATTATGGTTTGCTTATTTAGCAGCATTGGTTCTTGTTTGTTTTTCATGTTGAATTTTACCGCGCAATTCTTGTTTTTTTTTATTCACTTTGAACTTTCCAGGTAAGTCGGAATACTCAGTGTTCTTGAAAGTAAATAGCTGTACAAAACATAGTTTAATTATTCATATAAAAGTGTTAGGCTAACTTTAAGCTTTAACTGTAACAATATTATTTTAATAACTATTTGAATTTTTTAGGTTAGGATTTCAGAATTGACGGGGTGAATAGAAACATATAATTTATAGTGTTTCTTTACACCCCGCAATAAAAAAGTAATTCTAAGTCACGTTTATACTGTATAAAATACATACTGTATGCTATATATTTATGTTAGACACTTAACTGACACAGCTGTTTTATTTCAGAACCCTGTAAAATGCCAAGGAAGTACAAACACGTGGTTGGAGGTGGTTACAAAAAGCACGATCCAAAAACAATCGAAAGAGCAATTTCTGACATACAGAATGGATTAAGCCTTCGAAAGTCTGCTGAAAAACATGGTTTGCATTATAGTGTTCTTTATCGACACTTAAAAAGAGGTCCAAATTTGAAGAAACATGGTAGTCAGACAGCATTATCTCTTGAAGAAGAACAGCTGTTTGTTGATAGGCTTAAGATATGTGGCAAATGGGGTTATTCCATTGACACTTCAACTCTACGACTCCTTGTAAAAGACTTTTTAGACCGGAGAGGGAAAGAAGTTAAGAGGTTTAAAGATAACCTCCCCGGCCGTTATTGTGGAATCATTTATAAAACGTCATAAGGAACAACTGGCCGTGAGAATGTGTCAGAATATTAAACGCTCGAGGGCTGGTGTAACACTAGAAACAATTAACCACTATTTTGATGAACTGACAAATGAATTAAAGGATGTGTCTTTATCTAATATCGTTAACTACGATGAGACGAATCTAAGTGATGACCCTGGTAAGCGAAAGGTTATACGTAGAGGGACAAAATATCCAGAAAGAGTCATAAACTCATCAAAGTCATCTGCGTCTGTGATGTTTGCAGCCGCTGCTGATGGCAATATTTTACCCCCTTATGTTGTGTATAAGGCTATGCACTTGTACTAAAGCTGGACAGAAGGTGAGCCAAAAAACGCCAGGTACAATCAAACAAAGTCTGGCTGGTTCGATTCCTTTTGCTTTGAAGATTGGGTACTGACAGTTGCTCTTCCGTATCTGAAAAACAAAACGTGTCAAAAAATTCTGATTGGGGACATTTTGTCTTTCCACTTATCAATGGAATTTGTGAAGTTGTGTAAAGACAATGATATCAGTTTTATTTTTCTCCCAGCTAACTCCACCCATCTCACACAACCTCTAGACGTAGCCTTTTTTCGCCCATTCAACATGGCAGCAGATTCTCGAAGAGTGGAAAAAGGGCCCAGGAAGAGCAGAAGCAACTGTTCCTAAGGACAAATTTCCCGCGTTATTGAAAAAGTTGTGTGCTTCATTGAAGGAAGAAAATGTAATCAGCGGTTTTAAGAAGTGCGGTATAGCGCCTCTAAACAGGAACAAAGTGCTGTCTATGCTTCCAAAAATCATCGATGATGAGGAAAATCAGAATCCAGAAAACATTCAAAAGAACACTGAAGCTGTTGACAGGAGTTTCCAAGAGCTCCTTCAGAGTCTACGTCATGATCAGACTCCTAAGATAAGGCAAAAAAGGACCAAAGTAAATGTGAAACCTGGCAAAAGTATTGGTGTTGAGGACTTCGTCGTAGACAATGAGATTCCCCAAACTTCACGTTCTACTGGCCAAAACCCAGATACCTCAGGTACTAAACAGGTTCAGTTAAAGAAAAGCCGAAAGCGTGTGGAGATATAATCAGAAGATGAAGAGGGCTATTCCAATTTGTTTTCTTACCGTAGGGCACATTATATGTAACTTCTTTTGTTTATGTACTCAAATAAATCATAATGTTGAAAAATAAATTTATTTGTATTCATTTATTGACCAAAAATCCATATTTGTCTGTTTCAATTCACCCTAAATTTTTTTCAATAGAAAAATACATGAAATTGAAGTTATGTTTCTATTCACCCCCATCTGCGGTGTGAATAGAAACACCATGCTTTATATATTTTTCTTTAAAATCAAACAAAATTAAAAAATTCAAATACTATAAACAAATAGGCTTAACAGAGACCTGTGTTTGGGCAAAAAATTGTTTATCTAGAACAACTACAAATATGCACATTTTCATACCAAAGTTGAAAATTGTTTCTATTCACCCCGTTTTACGGTACTAATGCCAATAGTAGTTATAACTTCAAAGAATGTTAATTTAATGTAAACAGTGACAGTGAAATTTTAAAACTTAAGTTAATAAAACTTAAAATCATGCAATAACGTTAAAACTAAGTTAACTAAACTAAAAAGTTCTTTTTTGTGTAATTTTTAAGGAACTTCATTTTAATTTTTTTCTTGCCTTTTAATTATCTTATTCTTTAGGGAAACAACCATTTAGTACCAGTATTAATTCCATTAGATTCAATTGCAGTCCTTATAAAATTAGCTGATTTAAAGATTAGGAAAGAAGCTGGTATTTTGAAAAATAATCCATATCTTTTCCCCAGCACAAAAAATAGTACCAATCATGTTTCAGGTTGGCATGCACTGCATTACATTTGCATGAAAATAAAAAAACAACTTAATAAAACCAAATAAACTTACTGCAACATCTAATCGTCGCAGAGTAAGCACTCTATTTGCAATGTTGAATTTACCACCACAAGAAAGAGAGCTTTTTTACCAACATATGGGGCATAGCTAAGCCATTAACCAAAATGTGTATCAAGCTCCACCAGCATTACTAGAAATACTAAAAGTTGGTAGACATTTAATCGATCTTGAAAATGGTAAGAACATTTTTTTTTTGGATACTGTTCTAAAAAAATAAAATTCTTAAAACAATTTTGCTTTAACTCTTATTTTAGTAGATTTCAAAAAAAACTTTATTTTTCACTTATATTTTAAAGGGATACAAAATAATACTATCAATACTGTACCTCAGACATCTACCAGTGGTTTATATTTAATTTTTTTTAAATTTTAGTTTTTATATCTTACTTAAGTACTTGTTTTATCGAATAAAAAATATAAGATTTAAAAATAGACTGGATGGAACACATTGAAGATTCAAGTGATGGCAAAAATTATGACAATGATTGGGTGATTGATACAGTAAGCAGTAAGTATGAAACCAATTATGTGTAGTTCATCCTGAATTTGAGAAACATAGTGAGCACCTTACTTTCACATAGTGAAATTATAAATATTTTGCTATCTAGACCGTTTTTGATAGCATCGACTGTATTTAGGCGCCGCCCAAATTAAAATTTTAGGACTTTTTTTATTTTACGTTTTTTTACAGGAAAAATTGCTTCTTCTCTTAAAAAAATATAACAAAAACTAAAATATCTTGTATACTAATGTGATCATATGTGCTCACCATTAAATCAATAAAGCTTATTTAAATGCTTAGTCAACAAAAAATTTGTTGCTAACGCAGACAGAAAGTAATTCTTGCCCACACTCCCCTAAAATGGTTTACGGGAGCGATTTACAGCTCTCGCAATAGTATTTTTTTTCTCTTAAAAGTATAATTATCATAGTAACTAAAACGAAAATGCAAATTTTATGTCTGAAGAATTTTTTCATGATGCAATAAATGACGCTTGTTATGTGTATATTAATGCAACATTAACATTACAAACATATGCTTGTAACAAGTATAAAACCATTTTGTATTTAATAAGCAAATATTATATAAATAAAAAATAGGTTGTGCAAAAATCAAAAGCTCTCGTAAAAAGTAGTTTAGAGGAGCAGCTCGCATGGCTCGCCATGTTCATTTTAGGATATCTTTTCTCTGCTCTCTGGCTTATTTACTCCCCCCGAGGCCAGCTAACTTATTTATGACAAAATTACATATATCTTAATTTTAAGTACTAAAAGTTAATTCAAAGTTAATTGGCATAAAATGGTGAAAGCACCTTATTCCTGGCAAAGTTCTTCTATAGTTTATTGTATTCCTTTGTGTTCTCATATTGGTATTCCTAATTATTTGTATTTTCATAGTATTCCTTGTTTCTGTTTTATTAACTATTATAAATTGAGTGTTTTTTTTATTTTGGTAAATCAAAAATTGTAAAAATTTCAAATTTAAATGAAAGGATTTATACCTAAATATCTCAAAAAGTTTTTGATTTTTCAAATTTTCAAAAAGTTTTATAAAAATTTTCCAAAACTACAACATAAGTATAATAACAAGCCATTTTTTTGTTTTTTCTGCTGATGCTATATGGATTTAATATTTCAATTTAAACAGTAACCACAAGAATCTATATATAAAATTACCATGTATTTTAAAAATTCTGATTATTACCACCTAAGATTTGCTTTAAATTTTGATCAACTGCATATTTTGTGTAAAAATTAAACCCTGAATATTTCAACTAATCTGAACAATTTATTGATAGGTGATGAAAGAATCAATATAAACCAACTTCATTGAAATGTGGAGTTTAAATTTAAAATTGCTTGAAATTTATAATAAAAACAAAGATACTCATCCAAAATTAATGCATTACATTTATTTAAATAAACTAGATTTTATTTGGACTAATTATAAACAATCAAGTTTTAAACAATTTATGACATATTGTCTAAGTACTCTATCTATTTAGCATTGAAGATCTTGTGACTGTTGTTGGTAATAATAACACAGATTTTTTATCTCTCATTTGTGTAATTTACACAAATGAATGATGAAAAAACTTGAAAGTTAAAAGCAAGAGTAAGGTGTGCCACTTTAAATAGTAAACAATGCATTATTTAATATTAAAGGAAAAGTTAACCATACATGCATCCAGAGTGTTATGATCGATGGCAGTGAAATATAGGCAATGAAGATTGATGATGTCCAGTGCTTAAAAGAACAAAATAATGACAAAATGAATAGGACATATGACTCTAATAGACAAGAAGAAAAGCGAGGACCTAAGACAGAGATTAGGAAAAATAAGTGTATCTGACTGGGTGAATTAGGGAAGATAATTGTTAGGGAAAAAGGTTGCTTAGACATGTTGAGCATGAAAACGCAGATAATTGGGATTCCTGTGGAGAGCTAAGGGTTTCAGTCTTTGCCAATAAATACAATTTTAAAGGCAGACTATAGTGATGTCTATTAGTTAATAGTAATATAACTTGAGAAATCTGTTAAGATTTTTATTTTTGTAATACTCTAATGTACACAAAAAAAAAAGATAATTTTTATACAAATGGTATAATAAATTCATCAATATTTAATATTTACAAATAATACAAATTAAAATTAATAACACTACAATACAATAGTATTAATAGAATAATACAAAATAAATTAAAGACACTATTATTATAAATATGAACTGAATTAAATGATGGATTATATATTTTTAACTAGTATATATAACTTAATTTCAGACAATTTAAATTTGTTTTTTTTTTAATTTGGTTATTATTGATTCATAACTTTTGAATAAAATGATTTTATTGAGCTTGTATTTTAGGGTTGAGTTTCTACATAAAATCTTTTGATTGTCAAAATTTGAGGCACATCCGAGGTGTGCAAAAAATTTTAACCAATATATGCATGATTGAATGACTAATCTTTAATTTTTTTTTAAGGTAAACAAATGAATGCTATCAATACAGTGCCTCAACCATCAACCAGTGGTTTAAATTTTTTTTATTAAATTTATTTTATTTTACTTCTGTACTTGTTTTATGAAATAAAAATAATATTTTAAAACAGACTGGAAGGATCACATTGATGACTTAAGTGATGATGAAGATGATTGTGACAATGATTGAATGCTTGATACAGTAAGCAGTACGTACAATACCAATTATGTGCATTTTACTTTTTTTATGATTATAGTGAATAATAAGTATTTTGCTATTGTAGGGAAAAAAAATAATAAAAGAGTCAATCTAAATGAACAAAATGAAACTGGTAAATTAATTAATAAATATTAACATTGATATAGAATGATCTTCTATATAATATTGCCGAACTTAATAGTAGTAGTAGTGTCCCTTGGAGCGTATTTGACACGAAACCCTTGGCAGCCATTGCAACTAAGGTATTGGCAAGAAAGATTCGCATCACTATAAGAAAACGTGAACGAATATCTAACGTACGTAAACTTTAAACTAAGTAATGTTAAAGCATATGTTAAAACATACTGAAACATTTATCATGTTTTACAGTTTGATTTTCACTTGAAAATAACATTGCGTCAAGCTCTCCTTAATTTTGATCTAAATAATTTTTTTCCTCAAAAAAATTACTACATTATTATAAAATCTACACTTGATGATATGCCGGTGTAGCTCGAGTGGATAAGGCGGCGAACTTCTGAACAAAGAACTACACCTTTTCTGGATCAATTTAAAAGAAATACGAATCAATTTAAAAGAAATACGAATCAATTTAAAAGGAATACGAATCAATTTAAATTAGTATTTCTTTAAAATTGATTCGTATTTCTTTAAAATTGATTCGTATTTCTTTTAAATTGATTCGTATTCCTTTTAAATTGATTCGTATTCCTTTTAAATTGATCCAGAAAAGGTGTAGAGGTTCGACTCCTACCCAATGGCCGCTATTTTTTTAAATTTTTTAATTATTTTAAAATACAAAATACTTTCGAAGTTTTATAAAGATTATACACAAACATATGTAACGTAACGATGTTATGCACTCAAAAAAGAAAAGATTTTAAGAAAGCTAAAACTTCATAAAACATTAAAAAAAAAAACATCACCAGGAGAAAAAATATGTTGCCTATCTATGATAATTGAGACACTTAGTTTATTAATGTGCTCATTTAATTAGTCCTAATAAGCTGCGAATGGTCTGAAAAAAAAAATTTGTCTGAAACTTAATAAAGAAAAAACTCAACAAGACAGCCCTACTACTTCAGAAGATGCTGCTGTGGAGGCAAAAAAAAAAAAAAAGCCTGTAGCTAGATAAAACTTTAAAACTTTCTTTTGACAATTAAAAGTTTATTTTGCTACATTAACTCTTTTCCTATAAATATATGCAGCAACTGTTTTTCAAAACGCCTAAATATGCTTATGACGTAATTCAAAAAAAACGCAATTAAAAATAAAATTGTTTGGAAAAACTCTTCGTAAAAGGTTTTTTGAAACAAATAACTTTTATTTAGTTTTTTTTTTCTTTTGTGCAACTTTCTTTTCAATAAATTTCTTTACCTTTCAGAATATGACCATTTTTAACAATGCTATAGAAAAAATATCAGTAAACTGATTAGTAGTATTTCAATTATATTAATTAGATTAAGCTATACATACTAAATTATATATTATATATATTAAATTAAATAGATAAATAAATTGATATACAGTTAACACATGTATATTTTTTTTTTGAAAAGAATTAGTGACAAAATAGACTAATTAGATAAGTCGTTAAGTAGAATGCTAAGAATATATTTATGGCGGTTATTATTGTTAAGGGTGATTAATAGGCAAATAAATTACAAGCTAATCAGCGTTTTGAATAAATTATAAACTAATCAGGGAAGTTTTATTTGTAAACCTAATAAATAGGAAAATAACATATAATTCAGGTAGACATTGTTTTCACTTTTTCGCCAAACTTTGATATCTTTGATATTAAAAAATGACCTTTCCAATAATTATAGATGATAGTGTATTAATCTTTTTTTTCGGAACCACAATCCGTAAAGATTAGTATTTTATTAATGTGAACGAAAGTCTATTCAATTATCTAAATATGTAAACTTTAAGTTCTTTAATTATCAATCATTATTATGATAAAGTAGATGACATCAAATTCTACCGATTTATTTTAATCTTAATAATTTCATTGCGGCAATATCTCTTTATTTTAAAGCATTAAATGATTTTTTTTTAAAGTTTAATAAGTTTTCTGTTTATTAAATAGTGTAAAAAGATGATATAGCATTCCAAAGCGATTGAAGTGCTTCGCTTGGGTTCAAAACCTTTTGCTTACACAATTTTTTTTTTAAATCTTTTCCAGTTTTCTGGAAAGCAAAGAAAAACAAGTTTAAATGCATATAGATGTTATACGCATTACTTAAAAATAAAGATATAATATACTATAACAAACAAAACGGAGAGAATTTTTTAAAACGTTTTTTAAAATATCTAAAAACATAAAAACGCTGTTGGAAATTTGTTGCGCATATATCATGATAGAGATACTTATGTTTTAGGTAATTAGTTAAGTCTGCGAGTTTAACACACATTAAAGAGATAACTTTCTTTCTTATATATATATATATAAAAAAAGGTTTTACATGTAAACTGAAATTTTTATTAAAACTAACTGGTCAAGAGTCCTAAAAAGTACGGAAAGGTATGAAAAAAAAATTGTATTCTGAAACCGAAAAAAAAAAATTAGTTACTCCAGAAGGTGACAAACAGAAAATCCGCAAAATTTCGTCTAATTCGCTAATAGAAATGCTCGAATACTAAGATACAAACAAATATTAAATGATTTTTGTATTACGAAACGTACGCCAACTCTTAAACCACTGTAAAACTACCTTGCGGTTATCTAATTAAATCCACCAAATCCGTCAATAAAAACAGCATAATTAATAGATTCAAAACCATCTGATTTTTGTATTATGATATGTGCGCCAACTGTACTCTAAAACCAATAAAACTCGGCCATGTGGTCTTTATATCGATTATAACAATTGCAAAGCGAGGGACGACAAGTAAGTTGTATCTACAAGTTTAATTATTGTAATCTTCATTTAAAAAATTAAACTTATTTTATAATTACCATGTTAATATGTTTCAAGTTAATATGTTTTTGACCCAAGAATAAACATTAAGATTATTTTTTATAATGAGCAGCCAATATACAGAAAGTTAAAGTATTTTTTTTATTTTGTATAACATTAATTAATTAAAGAGATAAAAAGAGATGATACGTCAATAATACTGAGATATTTAGCTTATTATTTTATTAAGAAATTACATTGAGATAAATTTGTATATCTTTAGGCGATGAAGAAGTATCTGCATTTTTTCGAAGTAAGCCATTAATATATACTATATATAGTAGCAGTTACATATGTTCTAAAAGTGGCGGAGCTGTTCTTGATTCACGTGTGAATAAAACGATGATTTATTTTAGCCGTTTTTAATTGAAATCAACCAAGGTTTGCCCCCCTCCCCTAACCCCGTAAATTAAGTACACCGCCCTAAAATTTAACTAAAATTTAAAAATATATAAATTAATTTTTAGAACTTTAAAAGGGTGGACCCGAAACTCAGTTTTTGTTTATTCCGCTATTTTGATTGATATTTTTGTAAAGCAGTGAACCTTAAAAACGCGTATAAGCTTTATTTAAGGTGTTGAAGCTATAATTTTATAAAACGTGTTTAAGCTAACACAGACTTTTAAGTCTTTTAACTACTAAAAATTCACGTAAAATGAAACTTTTTGTCATTTACTGAATGTGTAAAATTATAAAACTGTGCTACAGTTTTATAATTTAAGACAAATCTTATATGTTTAATTAAAAAAGTGAATATTTTGAAAATTAATTTTGTCTATATATATATTAGATGTTCAAGAGATCAGAGCCGAAGAGCTCTTGCCAAGTAAGCTAACTTTGTATGAGAAGGATATGTTACAAAGATATATATTTTACCAATTTCAGCAATTTGTTAATTATAACTCTTTTTTTAATGTTTAGCGGAAGTAATGGACAAGCTTAGTCAGGAATTTTTTTTTTGTTTTTTTTTTTTGTGTGTGTGCGAATACAGTTATGCTTTTTGAATTTTTTAAAGTTATTTAGCAACTGACTTTTGTCAGTTGTGACAGTTTGTCAGTCAGCAAGTGACTTTTGTAACTTTTAAATTTATTTTATTTAGAAAAATTAGAAGATTCAGTTGAGAATCTAAGTAAGCAATTTGTGATTGTTGTTGTCATGCTCTTTATTTTTTTTATTACATATTTATTTAACATAAAGTTATTCTATATATGGCAAGTTAGTTTATTTTAATTTTTATAAGTTTTTCATTTTATTTAGAAAAAGTAGAACATTCAATGGGTAAACAGAATTTGATTATATTTCATTTGTGTATAATAGATAAAAATATAGCATTTTATTTTCAAAAAAAAAGGTCTACTTTTTGGTCTTTTAGCTTTTTAAATACAATTTTTAGCATTTTTTATAGGGCTTATATTTTAACAACTAAGTAAGTTACTATAATGTTCTTCTTTATTTATCATTTTTTTTTTTTTGTCACTTTTTTTTTTTTTTTTTTTTGGTTTGTTTTGTTTTGTGATTGTTATTTTTTTGTCTCTACATTAACATCTCAAGCAATAATATCAGGTAATGTGTTTTGCATACTTATGCAGTTTTATGAGCGTTATGTGTATTGAAACTTAAATATTATTTTTTTCATGTTTTCATGCAATTTCATAAATGTTTTACATATGTTACTTTATACACTTTTGTTTTTTTACTTTCACAATAGCAACAATATCATCTGCAGTGCCATCAGGTAATGTGTTTTGCATACTTATGCAGTTTTATGAGTGTTATGTGTATTAAAACTTAAACATTACTTTTTTCATGTTTGTTATCAATTACATAAAGGTATAACATATGTTACTTTAAACACTTTTTTTTTTTTTTACATTTACAATAGCATCAATATCATCTGCAGTACCACCAGGTAATATGTTTTGCATACTTATGCAGTTTTATGAGTGTTATGTGTATTTAAACTTAAAGATTGCATATCTTA